AAGAAGAACAGCAGTACATATCCACCCTGGAAAATGAGGTTGGAGGCTAAGATCAAGGCAACTCGGAGAAAAGTCAGTCAGCTGGTGAAATTGGTGGAATGGTGTGGAGATTAAGAATAAGAGACTCAGCTACTGAAAAAATACAAGGGCCTGACTCGATCTGAAGCCTTAGAGACTGCTAAACAGGCACCCTTCTGCAACTTGTACTGTGCATACATGTATTTCTCTACTGGCTTCTAGTCTTTTCAGCTCCCCATGTCAATAAGTGTAAATGTTGGCCCATGGGAGAGCAAGCCAGCATTCTAAAATCATGTTTCTGTGCTAACTAAGATGCTGTTGCTGTCTGAATCATGGTGCTGCCTTAACTATGTCATCTGATTTCAAATTTTCAGACCCAGAGAATGCTGTCCTTTCTTCAGTTTTGCAATCCCTTATTCCCTTGTGAAGGCTATCCAATCCATACTGTTTGGGGACAATCAATCCATGATTTTTAATATGGCAAGGTTTATTTAAATTTATTTTATTTAAATTAAATTAAATTTATTAATTTAAGTCATACTCCATGTAAATCTTTTGTTTGTTTATTCATTTATTTCAGAGTGGCTTTTATGCTTTAGTTCTTTCATTTTTCTATGTGCTATTAATAATAGCCACCTGCATTTAAATACTTTAGCTCAAAACTCTCCCATGTTCCTGAAGATTTTCCACAGTACTGATCTGAGAGAGAAAAAAATGCATCTTAAGAGAGAGAGAGGAGGGTTACAAAGCTTAGTATGCATTACATGTTTCTGAGATTGTTTATGTTTTGCTTTGAGACAACAGATAGGAAGATTGGATACAATGAACATTCAACTGGGTTAAGCTAATTAATGATTATATTGGAATTATATGAGGTATGAGTACTATTAAAGGCAGACAGATGAAATAATCCACTTTATGCCTCTTCAGCTGTCAGGAATCTCAGAGATAATAGCAGACAAACCCCAAAGCTGGCTTTCCCAGGATCCCACAGAAGTTCATATTTGGGTGTGATTTAGAGAATATGGACCTCTCAATTAATCACTTCTGTTGATTTGAGAAAATACAGTTTAGATAGAGATAGAGAAATATAGATAGATGATAGATAGATACATGACAGATAGAGAGATAGGCGAGTGGGTGGACAGACAGACAGATAGATAGATGTATTTTCCCAGGCATTGGCATACAGTTTGTGTCAAGGACATTTCACAAATACAGAGATAATGGATAAAGAAGATATACCTGACCATGCCAGTCAAACTCCCTACACCAGATGGCTAACCTTGAGATTAAGGATTTAAGATAAATTGGGCTATGCTAAAATACTTTGTACAAAACAAAAGCATAAGAAATAAGTTTCTATTCATTCATAAACCACCAGTAGTGAAAGAGCAAAAGATGCACATAGGAAAAAGGGATGTACTCCAGAGAACCCTTGCTCTTCTTCTGTGTTTTCTACTACAGTTCCTTAAAGAAGGCTTGTTCCCTTCAGAAAGCTTTAGTTTTAGAAGTCAAATTGCTATTAATTGACAGTTCTCTCTAAAGGAGATGAACATATCTTTTCCAAGCGAACCTATACATTTTTAAATCTTTATAATTGAAACATGCATTAAATAATATAAATTTTGCTATTTCTATTTCTGCTAGTTCTCATGTTCATGCCTGAATGTTGATGTTTTCTATACAGTAGCTTAAATGACACCCTCTGCTTATAAGAGGGAAGTATTATCAGCAAGAGTGGGATTTCTCCAAGGTTTGCAGATTTTTTTTTTTTTTAATAGGGAGTCTCCAGAACAGCCCACTGAAGACTGACAGTGACAACAGAATACCGGGAAGGGGGAGACAGATAAGAA